TACCATATCTGTTTACCTTTGGCGCCTCCTCTTGCGCCGGATACCCGTGGACACTGTGGTACATGCGAGGGGGATCTACTTCCCCTCCCGATGTGTGTGTTGTTCTGATATCGAACGTCATGAGACCGAGACCTTTACCCACCTTTAAAGAGTGAGATTGTGAGGAAAGTGTGGGAGCATTTTGCTACTTGGACCCATATATCCCTACCCTCCACAGACAGTTTTTTTGAGCTCCTGAGTTTTTTCTCACAGAGCACACACTTTAGACACGTGAGCTTCCTCATTCCTTGTCTGATCCTTTGGTTCACCTGGACGGAAAGTAATAGTGCGAAGCATAGGGATATTACTTTCTTGCTTTCTCATATTGTTTTACAGGTGGAGAGACACATTTCGCTCCTCACAGCTTTGGGGAGGCTTTTTGTCCGTGACTGGACAGGCTGCACGCCACCACACCGCTACAATGTGGCACCCTCCTTGCTTGTTCGGTCCCCTCAACCCAAAGTTGTTGTTTGGCTTCGACCGATTCTCCTTAGGTCAAGCTAAACACTGATGGATCTTTCGACAACCGTAGCGATACTACCGGAGGAGGAGGCTTGATCCGGAATCACATTGGAGCTCTTATCACCGCCTTCCACACATACCTTCAGGCTTCCTCGAGCTACGATGCAGAGATTCAGGCATTTCAGATGGCCTTCAGATTGATGCCGACCTCTCTAGTCATATTTGGATTGAGCTGGACGCTGCGGCTGTCATCACCCTCCTGACCTCGGGTCATGAGGGCGCATGGCAGATTCAACACCCGCTTATGCGCATTAGAGATCTACTTCGGTTTGTCCATACCAGACACGCACACGTATCAGACCGACACTGCTCCACTCCGCCTTCGCACGCTAGTTCAGATGTATCAGCTTGGATATCCATCATTTTGATTCCAGTAGATTAGGGTTTTTGTTTTGTTTTATCTAGACCATACATTTATTCCGGGCATCTGTTAGCCCGATGACAGACCTTGTAATATTTTCTTTTTCTGGTTTTCGTTTTTGTTTGATTGTGAGACTATGTTGATTGTTTTTGTCCCTTTTTAGGGTTTTGATCTATGTACAGGTTGGGATCCAGCCCAATCCCCCGCCCCTCGGGCTTTGTTTGTTAAAAACAAAAAAACAAAAAAAAGAACCTAGCACAATCATACAACTAACCTAGCAACTACTGACCTAGCACAATCATACAACTAACCTAGCACCATCAGACAATTAACCTAGTAACTACTAACCTAGCATAATCAGACAACTAACCTAGCACAATCATACAACTAACCTAGCACCATCACATGCCAGCTGATCAGTGTGCAGAAGAGCACCTTCACCGTCTCATCCACCAGCGCGGACATGTGGGCTCAGCGGGTCCATGAGATCGCAGGCTTTGCGCGCGGAGACCTTCCCATTATTTAACTCGGTGCCCCCTTATAAAAGGGCAATCTCACAAGAGCGCTCTTTGAGGGCATTAGGCAGAGGATGATCGACAGGATCTCTGGTTGGTCAATAGACACCTTTCGTTCGGTGGTCGGCTTGCCCTGATCAAGAGCACCCTTAGCTCTCTTCCGCTTCACTTACTTATGGTCCTCGACCCCCTAGATCTACTCTTGACGAGGTTGACCAGATTATGGCTCGTTATTTCTGGGGTTACGATGACGGTTCCGGGAGGCGGAGACGTACCCACTGGGTGA